TGTAAGTGATGCCTCTGACCTGGAGGACTCACTGAACCTCCCACGGGGGAACAGGAATGCCGTCTCCTTTCTCACGGCTGTGCCATTTTCCATGGTGTTATTCTGTTATAGAAATGGCCCCCTAACCCTGACCCACACAATGTGGGTGGGAGTGATTTAAGCTTCAAAGTTGCTGTGAGAACTTACTCCAAGTGTAAAAAAGGGAAAGGTTGCTAAGGTATTATTAGAACAAGTAATTGGCCAGAGCAGTTACATTGCGGTAGCAAATTGGAGCTTGGTTTTTATTCTGGACTTGCAGTAAATTAGTTGAACCATCCAATGGGATCTTGGACATATTTTAAAGAAGTTGGGAAGTCTTTCTAGTATGGTAGTCCGAGTACATTTTCATGCAGTGGTCTATCATTTCCACAGTTTCTCCCCTTAATGCTGTGCTGCCTTAAAGTAAGCAAATAGTTGATTCTATCTCCCTATGGAAGCAGACGTTCCCATTGGCTCTATTTCTTCCCACTGCGGCATCCAATCCCTCTCATACTTTCCTCCAATAGCGGATGGGTTTAGTGGGACTTTATCCTCAGTGCCTGGATTATAAATGTTTGCCAGAAGCCTGAATTTTTGGCTATATTAATGTGATCATTACGTTTTACCTTGAAAGCTTTCAATGTATAGAAAATAACCATGTTGCCCATGTGACTTTTAAATTTTATATATAAAACAAAAGGGGGGGATTGTGAGATTATAAAGAGACTTCCCCAGCTTTGTCTCCTCCAAAGTTATGCCGAACATTAGAGGCTGTTTGCCAGCATATGGTGTGAGGCCAGATGCTTAGAGACATCCCTCCTAAAGGCAGTCAGTTGCCAGACAACTTTCTGGGCCTACTACAGGTAGGGCCTGCTCCCTGCTGTTAAGGACAATGGGCTACTTCTCTCTAAAGGCTTGTGACCTTTAGTCTGGTCCATGTAGGTGGAGTTTACACCCTACTGATAATGGTTTCTATGGAGATCCAGAGAACACGTCAAACCTGCTCAGTGACATCCAAAGTTAGGCTGCCATCTTGAATCTAGGATCTGCCCTTCTTGTCACAGTATACCCCCAATCCCTCCTCTTCTGTGTATATCCCTAAATTGTTCCCCTCTCATTGCTGTATGACCTGTAGTGCAACCCCTTCCTGTGATGTATGTCTTTACCTTTGGGGGGCTTGCATGCCCCCCCAAAGGTATATAAGCCTGGGTTAGCCATAAAGATCCCTCTTGGCCTCCGCTCCCCCATTCTTTCTCCTTCAGTCCTCTCTCCCCTGTTCCCTTTCCCCTTGTTCCCTTTCCCCTCCCGCTCTCTTCTCCCCTTGTCGCCCGTCTCCATGTGGACCACAGAGCAGGGCTCATGAAATGTGCCTGCCTCCATCATGTCAATCTTTTTTATCTCTCATGCTCTCTATGACTTTATTATAATCTTTATATATATCTCAAACGTACAATTGTGCCTACTGAACCCGCGATTAGTTGTGGGGGGCTGGTCTTTTCCCCCACAGAGGTCAACCATGTGTCTTGTCAGTAGAGCGTCTTGAAAGGAGTGAGGAGAGAGAGAGATAGTGTCTCCTGCCTCCAGGAAGGAATACAGGATTTACCAGAATTCTCAAGAAAAAGCCATGCCCACACAGAGGTCTCATTGGCTGTGATCTGACTGACGGACTTGATTCTACCCCTTCACTTTTAATCCTCTCAAGTCCCAAATTGACACCAGATTATGTAACTACCACAATTACTTAATCTATCCAATGTAGGTTTTGATCTAGTCAGATTTACCTGTTTTGCCCAGCTATATTTAGGTCATTCATTTGAAATGCTCCTTTGTAGGGTTTAAGGACTGTATTTTCTTTTTCTTTTTTAAATCATTTTATTAGGGGCTCATACAACTCATCACAATCCATATATACATCAATTGTGCAAAGCACATTTGTACGTTCATTGCCCTCATCATTCTCAAAACATTTGCTCTCCACCTAAGCCCCTGGCATTAGCTCCTCATTTTACCCCCTCCCTCCCCTCTCCCTTCTCCCTCATGAACCATTGATAATTTATAAATTATTATTTTGTCATATCTTAAGGACTGTATTTTCTTTGCTATTTTCCCCCTAACTTTGTTCAGCTTTTTAAAGTTTCATGATGACACTTAACACTGGACAAGCTTTGTTTACAGACAACTCATTTGTCCTCTCTTTTCTAAGGGGTGTGTGTCTATTAAATCAATCATTTATAGTTATATTTGAAATGTGTTGGATCAGGCATAACTGATCTTACTGTCTGAACAGAACCGTTTCAAAGTTGGAAGTCCAGATCAAGCAAGTAGAGCATGAGAACATGTTAAGCCTTCGTCACACAAGACCCTCACGTGCCAAGTAAGTTCCCTCACGTGATCGTGATCACCCTAGAAAGCGGTACCCCCTTGCTTTGAACTGAGTAGCTCAGCTGTCTGAACTCTAAGAATATTAGAGGCGAACGTCATAACAGAACTTGAATATGTAATAAACGCTGGCTGCCGGAAATTGTCAAAAGTCTTCTTTAGAAACATTTGCCAAAATGGGGAACAAATGAAGTCAGACTGAAAGTAAGGCGGTATGAGGTTTATTGGGTACTGTCTTTCCTCTGCACCGCTGTGTCACACCAGACCGTCAGACCCTTGTTTCTGGAGCTCGTTTTCCTATCTGTAAAGACAAGGTTGATCTAGAATAGCTCTGAAGGCCTTTTCTGATTCCAGAAATGCTATCTCACCTTAATGGGAAGATTAATGAAGACGAGTATTCATTAAGCTGTGTGAACTTTTCTGTTTTTGTTTTGTTTTGTCAAAATTAGTTTTTTTCTTTCTCTGAGATAATTACCTTGACATTGTATGTTATTATGTGGGTAAGTCAAAAACTATTACTAAAAAATTGCTAGGAAAAAACTGCTTGGCACAACTTTCCTGGACTTTTTTTCCACCAGTGGAGTTTTCAATTTCTTAAACCTTATTCTTAATAAGCCACTCTGATTGTCCTTTGTCTTAAATTATTAAAAAAAAAAAGATCTTCTCAAGATGACTCCTTGTAAGTCCCCCAAATCAGTGATCATAACCTTCTTTTTATTTGTTTTTAATCATAATCTAAACTGATCTCTCTGCATAGATCCCCTTGGAAGCTATTGTTTTGATTGGACCTTTGTTTGCATGCACCTAACCAAATGTGTACCTGAGAGAGCTTGTCTGCAGCTTCCACTGATCTCAGAGACGTGTTGAAACACATTTTGTTTGGAATACAGTTTTGCTTCCATGCACTGGAACCCTAGTAGCAGTACTTTTTGACTTTGTGCCCTATAATGAAAATCATGGTCTGATGCTAGCATTTGTTAAAATGACAGTGGGTGGGAGGGTTTTTTTTTATTCTTGCCGTCTTCTTAAATGTAAGGTTGTTTGAAATACTAATTTTTAAATGTAGGAAAAGAGGGACTGGGAGTGAAAATAGATCCGAAGTTTGGTTGTCTGGCCAGATCAAGGAAGACAGTTGTCTCCTAATTTCTGATTTCTCTTTGGCATAGCTGACAGTGAAGCTGGGAGTTCTGAGGGGGGGTAGAGAGGGCTGGATTGGGAGTTAGAGCTCAGCTCTTTGATTGGAAAAAAGTTGTAGCTAGGCAAGTGCTAGGTGTCCATTGGAAGTAGCAGTGATCATTCTGTAAGGGAACAGTGACTGTGCTGGCACGAAGTGGGGCACACGAGGCTTGGCCAGGCCGAGATGTCTGCTATCTATCAAATGTGACAGAAGGTGAGAGGGGACGGGAATTGGCTGTTCACAGGTGAGTAGTTGTTGTCCAAAGAGCCCCGGTGGCACTGTGGGCTAGGTGTTGGGCTGCTACCTGCACGGTCGGCCGTTCAGGCCCAGGGGAGAGCAGTGAGGCTGTCTGCCTCTGTAAGGATTGGCCACGTCAGACTCTTAAGAGAGCTCGATGAATAGAGATCAACTCCGTGGCAGTGGGTTTGGTTAGTTGTGGTTTCCTGGTTTGGGGCATTGTTACCCAAAGTGCCTTGGTGGCACAGCTTAACTGCTCTGCTGCTAATCGCCAAGGTGACAGAACCCACCAGTGGCTCCATAGGAGAAAAGACCTGAAGATCTGCTTTCACAAAGATTGACAGCCAGGGAAGCCCTGGTTCCCGTGGGCCTCTCTGGCCATCTTCTGACAGGCCATGCTCTTGGGGCACAAGTCTCTAAGTGGGGGAAGATTGAGGGCTAGCTCGAGCTCTCATCAGGGTGGCTGGTAAGCGTGGACTGGACAGGAGGGGGATGGGGAACAAGCAGGAGACTGGTTCCAAAGTCGGCTTGACTGCCAACCCAAAGATGGTGCTCTGTGGGAGAAAGAGGGGGCATTTTGCTTCCGTAAAGAGTATAGCCGTGGAAACCCTCTGTAAAGTGTCACTAGTAGCGAATGTGGTTTGGGGACTGCGTAAGTGGTGCTCTAAAGTAGGTGGTTTTACGCATGTGTTTGTGTAACATGAAGCGCCAACCTGACCTCACCTCAGAATGTTTCTTCTCCTGATAGCACGCTGTCAGTTTCCGATGTCAGCAGGCGCAAGTGGCTGCTGCCGGGAGCCGAGTACTCCATCTTCACTGGCCAGCCTCTGGACACTCAGGAGAGGAGCCAGGCGGGCAGCCGGTGGGAGGAGGCCTGCATTTCTGGGTAAGACTGATGTATTCAAGATCAGGTGTGTGAAAATGGGGCCTGCCAACTGAAAGGTTGGTTGTGCGTACCCACCAGATGCACCAGGGGATAAAAATGTGGCTGTCTGCTCCTGTAAAGATCTCCAGTCTTGGGAACGCTTACTGATAAAGGGGTGCTGTGAGTCAAAATCCACTAGATTGTAGTGTTTTGATCAGTGTTCTAAAAGCGAACCCTGTGTTTTTTTAATGCCTTAATTTGGGGAACCTCCTTTTTAGTTCCCTTTGAAAACGTGATGCTTTAAAAGATACTTTGCTACTGCAGGCTGTACAGGTACCCCATGGTTTTCTTAGCACTGTAGGTCACCAATTCTGGGCTCATAGTTAAGATCATATAGCTATCTGCCCACCCCAAACCCAACAACCCCATCCGTTAATACCATCCAAGGTTCTGTGCAGGTGGAACATTTCTCTGTGTACTGTGTTGTGCCATTCCCCAGGGTAGGGTCAAGGTACCAGTCTCCTTCGTGCAGCCCGTATTTTCATGTTTGCCTTGTCCAGGGCACAAAGTCTCTATGAGACATGGTAATCGGTGCTCTGTCACCTTTGTTCCCTTCACAGCCCCAGTCAACTCACATACTTCCCAATTACCATTTAAGGTACTACTCTCCTCTGGAAAAAGATTCTCCACCTGGGGATTCACCAGCCAGTGTACTGATGATAAAACAGAGGGAGGCTTCAGACTCACCCATCGTGAAAGCTCTAAAAGAACTGGATGGGGAAAAAATGTTCAAAACCTGGGGCACCCAGACTGAGAAAGAGGATGCTGCAAATAGTAAGTTTTACTCTACTTCAGTTTGAGAACGAGATGCAGATAGAGTTATTGTCTGCCCCAGTCATGCACCTTACTTAAATTTAATTCCTCAGGTAATGAAATGCATAGTTTACTTTGTCTACTGTCACTTTAGCCCCGTTTCACAGGTGACTGTGAATCTCCTAGTTAATGATTTATCCTAGAAATGGCATGACATGTACCTTTCGACAGAGCAGAGTAAATCATGTTATGAATATTAAAAAGGTATGCATATATGCTGTTGTCAGGACTTTAAGTACTAGTTTGTCTTGCACGCGTGTACGCGCATGCACGAACACACACACACAGAGTTAGGAAAGGAGGCAGAGATTGACAAAGACTGATGCCAGGCTGCATAAAGAACAGGAGCAAAAGCATAAGAGAGATGAGGCCTTTCCCCCAGAGCCGGCATAGAGAGCACCTCTCCTAGAGCTGGTGCCCACTGTGAGATGATGAATGTGTCTGTTAAAGCCATTGGAGAACAAGAGAGTTAGGAATGTGTTGGTGTTCTCTCCCACTCCTCCTTTCGTGATTACTGAGCATCTTCTTGTAGGACAAGAGCATGTGCCACTCTTTGAGTGTACAGGTGTACATCAGCAGTGTTCAGGTCTCTCCTTCCTCACCCGCTGTGCTCACCTTGGTCAGGTCAGGCCCGATAACCACCTCAGCATCCTTGTCGTGACATCTCTGACCTGGTATTTCCTAGTAACCGGCTTCTAAAATACGCTCTTTCTTTCTTTCTATTTGAAAATTTTATTTATTTTACTTTTTTGGTTAATAGTTTGTTTTCTTTACATTTTTATCGATACCTAATCCACATATCATACAATTCATTCATTTAATCGTTCAATCATATCAAAGAACTGCACAGTCATAACCTCAATCCATTTTAGAACTTCCCCCTCATATGGTTAAATCGCCTGTAGAGTGAGTTGTGTAGTCACAATCTGTTTTAGTGCCCTCTCCTTCCCGAAAAATAAACTTTCTTGAACAACCACTTTGAATGCCAGTCCCTGTCACCCCCTACCTTGTGCTTCATGAGACACTTTGGCTCATTCTCTCATGATGTATTCATTCGCCAGTCCTCACTGTCACCTGGGTATTGAGAACTGCTCAGAGCAGAATGGAAGCTGAGTGAAAGGCTTTGCTTGCTGTGCCATCTGATAATCAAGACACAGTTGTAGTCGGTTTGTTCTGTCTGTGTGATTGTTTTATTCCAAATTTGTCACTTGCAGAATTGGTGAACTGCCGACCAGCGGAAACAGCAGTTGGTGCCTGTCGATCCCTGGAGAAATGTGCCCAGCAAAGACCAAAGCGATTAAATTCTGCCTCTCAGAGATCATCTTCTTTACCACCTTCAAACCGGAAACCAAAGACCCCAAGTAGGAGTCCCAAAGCTGGGCTCTGGGCTCTGGGCTCTGGGCTCTGGGCTCTGGGCTCTGGGCTCTGGGCTCTGGGCTCTGCATGGCTGTCACGTTTTACTGTGTCTTGTGTGTTCTTCCCAGCTACTGAAGTGCATTCTTGAGACGAAGGCCTCTAAACATTGGTCACACAGACACTTTGAGGATAACTGAAGAAACTCTCAGCTTATTAATGAGATTGTGTGTGTGTGTGTGTGTGTCTAAATAACTTTTTCAAATTACACCACCTTCAAGTTTGAGATCGCAGAGATCCAACTAAACATTTATTCACGCCAATAATTTCAGCTTGTTTGAAAAGAGAACATTTTTTTTCAAGTAACTGACATTCTGTTAGTGTTGGTCACCTTTTTTCTTTAGCCAGCTTACTGTTCAGATTTTAAAGTGTGAGAGTTGAATTTCTGTTTCTCCCTGTTTCTTCTTTTATAGCAGCTGAGGAGACTTCTGTTACCAAGTTATAGGAATGTCCACTATTGGACTGGTGTCTCCCTCTTATTTCCAGTCGACTTCTAAAATCCTGAAAAACCAGTTTTGTGTCTGAGTGTTGAAACTACATAGTCTGATAAAGCGTTAACAGGCTACCTCTGTCTTGATTTTATGTTTTGTACACTATCTTTTCAAGATGTTTTACATCGAAAGTTTGTTCCTGTTGAAACTAGAGGGAGTACTGGAAAGAAGCTCTGCTGTGCCAGGGTAACTTGTACTACACAGAAGGGCAAGAATATTTCCTTCTCCCTTTCTTCTACAGCAAAACGAGAGATTATGTTAACACCAGTGACTGTGGCGTACAGTCCAAAGCGATCCCCTAATGAAAACTTATCCCCAGGATTTAGTCATCTACTTAACAGAAATGAAAGCAGCCCAGTTCGGTAAGTTCTTTAAAATCATAGAAAAATAGATATATGTACAAAATCTATCACTTAAAAAAATGTTAACGTACACTCTAGTGATCACTTTTTCATTGCCAGTGGAAACCCTATGGATTTACACTGTCTAAATGAGTGTTATAAGTACTACCAGATAGGAAAAGAACTGAATTATATAAAAACTGGCTGTGGCTAAATGCTCAATGCCACCTCAGAACCCCTTCCAACTTCTAGAAGTAGAATGATCGTTCTCTTCTGCTTTTGAAAAGAACTATGGAAATTGGAAACTTTAAAAGCTTTTGTTCTGGAGAAGGGCTGTAATGGAATGTAGGATGCAGTTGTCCCGGCTCTGCAGTATGGGCAGCAGTATGTGCTGTTGTGGAAAGAACAGGAGTCCCCGTAGGGCATAAGACCTGACTCTAGAACCAGCCCGTCAGTGTAGTCAATGACTGTGGAAGTCGTTTGAACCTTGGTTTCCTTTTCTCGAAAATGGTGATAATAATACCTACCTTGCTATTTCACAAGGTGGTTCTAAAGATCCCATGAGACAATGCATGGGTAAGTGCCATGAATCTAGAGGATTCTGTAGAGATAATTTTCTGTTATAAAATACATTTCAGTTTTAGAAATAGGTGACCAGCTTTCCTTTTTTTCAGAGAAACTAAATGTGTGAAATGAATTGGATGTCAGCTCATCTTTCCAGTGGAGATGGGGGTGGGGGGGGCAATTAGTTAACTTTTTTTTTCTCTCACAAGTAACTTGCTTCATTCAATAGATTTGATATACTTTTGGATGGTCTAGATACTGTTCCTGTGTCTACATTACGACATGCCAATCCAAGGAAACAGCTCCAGTTTCTGCCTGTAGATGATACAGAAGGTATCTTTTCCTACAAAATTATCAGTTATGGTTTAGTCCTTCAAGATTCCAATTATTATCGTATAATACTGTGGACTTAAAATATTCTTTACTTCACAGACCTCTAAAAATCAGCATTTATGAGGCTTTTTATTGTGTCAGTGTTGTTAACCTCATTGAAAAGTTGGGAAACTGAGGTATAGGGAATGCTACTGTTTCCTACTGTTCAGTTCTTATTCTTTTATATAATATAAACTTCCTGTATGATTTTTAGCAAATGAGGCATTCAGGTAGTTCTTGCTTTTATTTAAAAATTTCAAGTTTAGAATAAAGTTCAAAGATAATGTTTGTGAAATCACTGGAGGCCCCAAGATGTTAGTGTTGGTGTATACATGCTAAGTGTCTTCAACTGTGTGTGTGTGTGTGTGTGTGTGAAGTTTATCACTTAATGTAGCTGTGAAGAGGGTCAAACCGAAGGTAAAACTTCTAGAATTCTTGGGAGAAAGCTCCGAGTAAAGCTAATGGATGATCGTATCTGTCTTCGTGACTTTTCTTGGCCATACAGAAGCCATTTCCAGAAAATGAAATAGGATAATATATTTAATGTGTATGTGATCTATTGGGGAAAATAGAGAAGAAAAATCTGTTGGTAAATAGAGAAGACATTTTATTCCTCTCTCACAGAAAAAGCATCTGGCAACCATCTTCATCAGCGCTCCAGCCCAGAACCGCTGGCAGCCGGAGTGAAGAGTTTCCCTGTGCCATCCGCTTGGGAGAAGACTAAGCCTGGCAGCCCTGAGCAGTGTACACCTGCCTCAGGAGCACCACATGCAAATGATTTTGAATATACATCAAAAATTAGGACCCTGGCTGAAACAGAGCGATTTTTTGACGAGCTCACAAAAGAAAAGGACCAGGTAGCAACAGCCCTTTAAAAAAGCTTTCTTCTGAACCTAAAACATATGGTGAAGGAATGGTCAGTAGGGAATTGTTGAACAAACTGTGACAGAGATTCCATATGAGAGCTGCACTGGAATTGGGGTGAGATGATGTCCCCGAGCTGTGCTGTCATCACTAGTTGAGGACAGAGGACAATGAGAGTAAGGCAGAATGGACAAGGGATTACACTAGGCTGTTCCAAACCTCCCTGGCAGCCTTGAGATTTCTGACACGCTTATTTAAATGTCCTTTTGCGGTTACAGATTGAGGCTGCACTAAGCAGAATGCCGGCTACTGGAGGGCGGATCACTTTGCAGACAAGATTAAACCAGGTAAAAGGCCTCCTCAGCCGACTCTGCTTTCACAGATGGTGCTAGCTTGTGCTCCATTTACCCATGCGGACTTGAGCAGCCGCGCTCTTTAGGCAGAGAGAAGCAAGCAGTCGAGACTCTTAGCCTTTTTCAGAAGGTGTCTGGTGATGATAGCACATTTGGTAACTGCATGCTAGTTTTCAGGAATACAAGCTGGCGTAGTTACCTTCAGACCTCAGGAAAATGTGTTCATGCCATTATGTTTGGGAGAAATTAAGTAGGAGCGAAACAGTGATAGCCAGTTAGAGGATTTTGTACTAGTTTATGTGTTCACATGAAATCTCTCTTTTTTTTTATGTTCACTTTGTTCCCCTCAGAGCTGCAATTTTTTATTTTTCAGTTGTGCTGTAGTTAAAATTTAGGAGAATAAATTAGTTCTTCATAGAACATGTAGTGTTCTGAGACATTGGCGTTTTATTCCCTACACTGTGTCAGCACCCGTCCCCATTTTTATAGTGATTTATTATTGTACAATCCCTTACCCTTTGGAAAATCTCCAGCATTTTTCTTCCTTTTCAATTTCTAAACTTTTATCAGAAGAAAGCTTTGTTTCAAGATGTGTGCTCTTTCCATCCCTTCTGGAGCTTCCTCTTGGACTGTTCTTAGTTCTGTAAATCCAGAGAATGACCCCAATCTAGCACCATGTCAACAGCTTCTCTGTACTCGGAGTGCCAGATGGATAGAGACTATCTTGAAGTGTGGTAGTTATTTTGAATGGTTGAAAAATTGATTCACATTGTTCCATTTCAAAGGAATAGTGTAAAGGACAGAGTGGTGTAGAAGACAGATGATCTTTTATGTTCACACTTGTCCTTGCCCTTTTGCTAAAAGAAAGATCAGGGTGATGGTAATTACAGAAAGGATGAACTGGACGGAGAATTCTAATTCAACCCCCCACTCTCCCACCCCGTTCTTTTCACCTAGGAAGCCTTGGAAGATCGCTTGGAAAGGATTAACCAAGAACTGGGTTCTGTCCGCATGACACTCAAGAAATTCCATGTTTTACGTACCTCTGCAAATCTTTGAGATTTGTAGCCATTAAACTTTGAGATGTTTTTGTTTGCACTAATGTATGATTATGCACTCAGAAAAGGCAAACTATTTTGTACTGTTTATAAGCCTTCAAACCGTAGTTTTACAATCATGCTATTCTTTACACTTGCTGTTTTATACTTCAAATGGCCACATATTTTCAAGATATTTTTGTTATGCTCAGGAATCTCTTGTATATTTTACTATTTAAAAAGTGTTATTTTTAAATAGTACATGCCTGCAGTTTATATCAAGAATAAGGAAAGTAAGTGGAGCAGCAGCTCATTTTGAAACAAATAGTGTTATCCTTTTACAATGAACTTTGCACACAAATTTTATAAACTTATTCTACATTGTAAATATTATTTGGGTTTTTTAATAAGTGCTGAACAATAGCTAGCTTTTGTAGCAATAGACTAATACATGCTAAATGCAAAAAGGAAAAAAAAAACAGTCTGCTCTGGATTTCCATTGTATTGAGGTTATTAGATGATGATTCACCCCCAGTTGGAAACACTTCTAAGAGTGAAAATTAGAACAGTAATAATGGCTAGTGGAAACCAGTGTGTTCCCCTATACTTTGTAAAGAAAGGCAATGAGAAGAGTCTAGGCTTCTGACTTTGTCATATACTTAATATTTTTAAGAAAATGTTAAACATTTGGAGCGCTGTGGCTTCCATCGTTCTGAATGTCAAGTTTGGCCCCTCTTGACACAAAGCCCATCAAGCTTGGTGAGACACAGACGACTCCCCGGGAAGTTGTTAAGAGTAGCCTTGCTTTTTGTCAACTGACATGGCTTCAGCTGTCCATTAGTCGTCATCCAGACATGTGTAAGCTCTCCTCATCCCCTACACCACTATCAGAAAGAAAGAAAGACTTCCTAGTGGGGGCTGGGAGAGCACCAGGTTTTGCATCAGAACAGAGTCTTTTACTTGCTAGTGGGCACAGAGTGTGTCTGGACAGAGCTTGGTGTCTTGGGTTGTTGGCTGGGCCCTATCCACAACTTTGGCTCCTGGCTCTGGGTAAGGAGCCCATGGGCAGGAGGCTCTGCCTGGCTCCAGGAGGTCTGGCAGGTGTGTCTCACATCTTGGTCAAGTCTGGGTTGCTTCACTGCTCACCTTTCATTGAAGTTCTGCACATGGTCAACAGCCATTCTAAACATTGGCAGCTTCTGCCCACATAAAATACTCAGGTGTTCAGTCTTGACTTCTTGTGCTTCCTCTTGTTCTTTCCTCCTCATGTGGCTCATAGTAACATTGTTATAATGAACTAAGCCACACCCAGTTATTCAAGTAGGGTATATTTACATGCCTTTGAGCAGCAGGGATCTTAAATTGTTTCCTTCACCAAAGTCTGCCTGGCAGAGCTCTAGGCCAGGTGCCCATAGCCATACCCCCTTATAGTGGCCAGACCCCGCTACCAGGGGCCCACCTGACCGCTGCTATTCCCCTTCCCTCCCATGGGTTCACTGAACCTTTCTTCCAACTCTTGCAACCAGTTGAAGACAAGCCTCATCAAAAGTAATTACGCATTGACAGTCAAGTGCCTCTATTCTTGTCATTTTTATCTTTTCTAGCTCCCCGTTTTTTCGGTAATCTTCTAGTTAACAGAAAAGAAAAAGTGCATGTTGCTTAAGCTCCAGCACAGCTTGCATCAAACCTAGTATGGGGATTTGCTTTATTGATGATATGCCTTCCTTTAATACACGGCATTAAGAATTATCTTAAACATGAGGATAGTTCATTGTCCCTGGCTTTTATTCTAAAGTTGCCATTGAAGAAGAGATTATAGTTTTATCTTGTCAAGTAATTATCATCGCCTTTACTGGCTTCGTCTAAGAAAGGCTTTCAGCCCCATCAGAATATCGTCCAAACCTCTCTCCCAGAAAGCACTTCTCAGTGATTTATAAAGTATGTAAAAGAGTGGAAATGATCGGTCGCTTCTCTAAATGAATGTATTTGTTTTTCCTTCTTAGCTCTGACAGGGGAACCAAGGAAAGTTCCCCCAGTTCTTCCCCTTTGGTAATGCGTAACTTATGAGCCACCAGCTTCAGAACAACTCAAGGAAAGAAGGTCATCTTAAATTGCAGCCCTCAGCCCAGGGAGGGAAGCTGTTTGTGGACCGATGGGGCTGTGCCTCCAGCTAGGGAAACCCCTAGGGAATCTTCCACTCTGGCCAGTGGCTTTTCTCAGTCCAGAGAGAAAGTTCACACTCTTGAGCCTCTAAGAAGGGCCCTTAAACAATTGTTATGAAAAATTGTTATTGGTGCATTCCATTTTTCCACCGACTATTTGAAGCCCCCTCACATTTGGGAGTAGGGCAACATGCTTCAGGAGTCCCCCCAAAGTGAATGAGCCACACTCAATTGAAGCCGCAGCACATGACACTGAAGTAGTGGTAGTATTAGCACTGCACAGTAGCTGGTTACAGCCCAGGCTTCCTGTGACTGGTTTACTAGAAAGTGCTCTTTAGATTTATTCCAAGGTAAAGGTTTTAGAAATAATTTGGTAATAAAAAGAAAAGGAAAGTAGGTTGTGTTCTCGGCAATCTGATCTTAAAAATACCTTCTGTCTGATACTTTGTTAGGTGGTACAGTTTGTGTTCTCACAGAACTCTGCAACAACAACAAAATGTTTTCTGGACCTTTAAATGCTCTGCTGATGTGGGATCTTTTTTATATATATGACTGAAAAGATTTTTTCCCCCAGAACTTGTTGAGGGTAACTTCCAAAACCATTTTGGTCATGAAATTGGTGTTCGGCTATTTGATACACATGTAGGCTGTTTTCTTAAAAAGTAGTTACTGATGGGATCGCACACCTCGGGGTGTGGGCACAGGACACAGGGCTCCCTGGAGGAGGTGCTGCCCCTGGGCTTTGGAAGAGCTATGTGAAGATCACAAAATGGTTTGAGAGTTCAGTGACCAACGAAAAGATGTCTTCTCTTTTTAGCCCAGAAAAGCCAGGTGCTTTGCTGAGTGCTTGTTGAATTTTGTCCCCTGCCCCTATATATGTCACTTTTCATTTTAAGCTATCTCAAAAGCAGTTTTCACATGCCCCTGTGTGGCAATCCTTTAAGAAGCTGTAGGAAATAAATGTACCCTGGAGCCCTTGAATCATCACAAAGGTCAATCACATTTATGCTGTGTCGTGAGTGAGCGAGTGTCATTAACAAGATTTTTGGGTCTGATTAAACTGATGATATTGCACACATTTTGCTAGAAATAACTTCCTGCCCTGCTGCAGTTCTCTGTGGCAGTTTGATATTAAACTTTACCAGTATTCGTAGGATGCTGTTTCCCTTTTGTGTTTTTATTTCAGTGGTCCCTCACAATTACGAGGATTCAAGCCATGCTACATTCGCTGAGCATTCTGTACTATGCCATCACTATAACTACAGCTCTTCAAAGACTGACCTTATTCACATTTTACACTGTTATTGAAACTGACCAACAGTGTGAAACATTTGCGTTATAGAGTGCTGCTGATGGATAAGCAAAGGCAAATGCTTGTTGGCGTTGTTTTTCAGTGGACTCAAACCTTGGAGTAAGATAGTTGTAAGCTCCCTGAGAGCAGACCATGTCTTTTTCATTCTTGCACATAGGCACTCAGTAAACCGGTGTGAACACAAACTGTCTTATGATGTGTCTGTTTTAACTGACTGTGAGATGGGTTTTGTAACAATGTTCTCTACGTCCTGTAAGTCCTTGGTTTGAGTACATTCATGCAGAATTCTAATGGTCAAGAACTAAATCATTAACACGTTTTCAGGTAGCTCTTGGCGTAGAAGGAAAGAATTGAGGGTATAGTGATTGATGGGAGACACTTTCACTTGCTTCCATGTGATCATCATGAGAACAGGTATTTTTGAGGCAAGTCCAATAATGGTGGCTTTAATGGCCCATTCAGTGTCTGGTTCCGACAGGAACAATGGCATGAGCTGCCTTTAGTGGTTTCTCAACCCAGGACTTCATTTGGACTCCTTTCGTGTGTGTTTGCATTTGCCCCTCTTTCCAGAGTGAAAGCATGCCCAGTTTTTTCTCAAGCACACCCATGTGCATGTGCTTTAGGTATGCCCGATTTAGTTCCATTGCAGACAGCCCTTGGGTTACCTCTGACCACCCCTTGGTTAGGAAACAACTCCTGTAAAGCCTATTCTGTTAAAAATGTGAGGTGCGTATAATGCTTTATAACAAGCAGGCGCTACTTTTGAAGCCCACAGAAGGATTGGTGCATGTGAATGATGGTGTTGGGGAGGAATGTTGAAGGAACCATGGACTGTCAAAAGTACAGCCAGAATTACGCAAGGAGGATGAGATTTTATCCTGCGCTTCAGACATGTTATCAGAAAAGACCGATCCCTGGAAAAGGCTATCATGCTTGGTAAAGTAGAAGGATACCAAAAAAGAGGAAAGCGCACACCGAGATGTGTTGACCCAGTGGCTGCAACGATGGGCCAAGCGCAGCCATTGCGCGGGGGCACAGAACGCGGCTGTGTTTCCCTCCGTCGCACACAGCGTCTCTGAGTTGGCACCGACTCCGTGGCACCACTTGCGATGCTCAAACGTCATGATGTTTTAGCGCATCTGCAAGTGTTCTTCCATGCGCACTTCAGTTTTCTTCTCTCAAGTACCATCTTGGCCGTTTTACTTCAGAATGATGACAGCTACTTCAGATTCGCTTCCAGTCTTTTTTATTTTTTATCCAGGGCTAGAGCTACATAGTGATCCTACGGGATAATTACTCCTAGTACTGGTGACAATACATCTGATCACGTTGGGGGCGGATGGTATCTTTGGTTGATTCCAGAGGGCAAAATTCATTGGCATCTGTAGCAGCGGGTGGACCGAACTTCAGTTCGTTGCCTTCAGTTTGCTCAAAAATGTTTCCACTGCCTCGTGGCATCTTGGAGTGACTGCCCCTCGCGTTGTCATTCTACTCACCAACTTCATTACTTCAATACCCCGAAGGGTCCGCAATTGTTCCCTCTCCACGTGCATTTGGCCGC